CCTGATCGTATTTGTTTACTTGCTGAGAAGTTTTATGCAGCTGATTTTGATAGACAAGACATGAATCATTTGAAATGTCAACTAGATCATTATCAATTTGATGTGGTTCACCATGAGAGGTTTCAAAATATGTCTGTAATTTTAGAATTATGTCGTGGTTTAGTAAAAACAAATAAGGTAGAGTCCTACAATTTGATTGATAAGTTGATTCGTCTTATTTTAACTCTTTCCGTTTCTATGGCAACTTCAGAAAGAACATTTTCAGCGATGAAACATGTCAAAAGTACTCTTCGTAACAAGATGGAAGATGAGTTTTTGACTGATTCGTTAGTTGTCTATATTGAAAAAGAAATAACGAAAGCAATCGATATAGATTCAATAATAGATGCCTTTTGTTCTAGGAAGGATCGAAGAGTCCAATTTCATTAGTAAGTGTTTATGAGTTTATATTTGTATTATTAAATATATGTTTATGAGTTTACATTTGTATTTTGTTAATCGTATGAATGCTTAGCTTAGCCCGAGATAAACAAAAATCCTGACTCCACCCTTAAACACCACCTATTAAGACTGACCTCCAACACCACCTACTAAGATTGACCTCCAACATGGAAACTACCTAAAGGGGTCAACAAGAGAACTGCTCCAGAAAATCCTACCATGGGTATGGAGTTACTGCTTCTACAAGTTTACATCATACTTTGGGCAAATGCCTTTCAACGGCTAGATATTTTCCAAATTATTCTCGAACAAATCAGTTATTAAAGCAATACAATAATATAACAAAAGGTAATGCAATAAATTGCCCCAAGCAAAAAAAATAATCTACTGTGTATTTTTTTTTTCCTCAAGCAAAAAACGCCCCAAGGAGCACTGGTCTCTGTTAAACACTGAATTACTTCTACTCTAATAAGAGGGAGATTGTTGGTGGCCAGGTCGCACTTCATTGGGCCAACAAAGTGATAATAGATGAGGAAGATCTGCCCGTTGAACTATGCGACTGTGGAGTTGGTATTTTCTGTAGGGTCGGGTGATTCTCTTTTTATCTTTTTTTTTTTTTGTATTTATCTTATCAATCAATCTTTATATGCATTTACTTCTTGCTATTTTTTGAATCTCTAACAAAAATCTTTCATTTTTAATTTTTTTTTAAAAATAAAATACAAAAAGAATTAATAATGCAAAGAAAATGTATCTTTGATTTTTGAAAAAGAAGAAACTTGTTCTTGTTTGTCATATGACTAGTAGTAATTCATGCCTAAATGCACAGTGCAATTAGAATGATTTTGAGAAATGTTGGTGGTCATTGAATAAATTTATTTAAGATCGTCGAATAAACTTTTATTGAAGCTATCCTGTTTTATATTATAGATAGCCTGTAAGAATTAAGATCAACGAGGGGAGAAATAAAGTAGGGTTAATCTTAACTTACATCCTTAAAATTACTTGAATATCAATTTGCACCCTCAAAATTTAAAAATATTAATTTACAACCAAAAAGATATAAATATATATCAATGTGCACCTGGTATTAACTGTCGTCTATTTTACCGTTAAAAAAGTTTGGATTAATTATAAATTGTACCCCTCAAATTTTAAATATTTCATATTTATGATCTAAAAAGAATTTCATCCATTAATTATATAGTGTCATAACATTTTTGTGTCGTGTTCGAGTCAATAAAAAAATATTTTAATACAAATATTTTTATGTCTAGTCAATTGCGTTATGTCATATATTTCATATTTACGACAATTTATATAATACTATTTAATATTTTTTAAAACTTAAAAAATACATATTTTTTGTCTATAATATTCATTAAATAACTATTTTTTGTTTATAGCTGTGTTATTCTTATCTAACTTTAATTTGATCGGACAATCAAAAGACTTGTGTCTAACTGTAGACATAAAATAGCTATTTAACGAGTATTGTATAGGGGTGCAACTTGGACTGGTCAATCCGAATTCAACACGAGCTCAACCCAACAAAAAAAAAAGCTTGGATTAAAAATTTTAATACTTGGGTTGGGCATGGACAAAAAAATTTGAACTCGAATTGAATTTGGGCAAGTATCGGGTTGAGGCTTCTCGTTGTCGAATTCAACCCGAATATTAAAATAGGGTTGAACCTATTGTTAAATCGGGTTAAATCTGAATATACATAAATATATTTAATTAGGGTTATATTTATCTTCTCTCTTCATCTCAGCGTCTCGTTCTTTATCTCAGATTATCTTGAAAAAAAATCACTTAAAAAAATCAATCTACACTTCAAAAAATCAATTCAAATTTAGTAACCCAAGTCAACCTGATTTTTAACCCGAAATTAACCCAAATTAAGTAACTCGAATTCAATCCGAGTCCGTTTGAATTAAACTTAGGCAGTACTCGGATTAAGGTAAGATTAGAGTTAAAGATTATATATCTAGGGTTGACATCTCAACCCGCTCGAGTTGTACCCCTATTATTGTAAGCAAAAAAATATGTATTTTATAATTTTTTTTACAATTTTAAAAATATTTTTTTATTAACTCGAACACGACACGATATAATTGAAAGATATTTAACAAGTATTAATGGATAGAATTCTTTTTAGATTATAAATTTGAAATATTTAAACTTTGAGAGATATAATTTATATTTAGTCCAAACTTTTTTAACGACAAAATAAATGGAGTTAGCTATAAATGTATATTAATACGAATTTATATCTTTTAGGGTATAAATTGATATTTTTAAACTTTGATAGTGCAAATTAATATTTGAATGATTTTTCAGGATACAAGTTGAGATTAAACCCAATAAAGTATGATGTTAAACTCTTATTTGGTATGAAAGTAATAGTTATGAATAGTTATCGACTTTTGAAAAAGGGTAGAGGAATGTGACTTATTATGTGGCGTACAATGCATTACACACGTTTGATTATTACGTTTCAATCTAGCTATTCTATTCCACTTTTTAGAAAGAAAAGAACTTAAATCAAAATATTTAATAGCATGGTGATAAATTTATACAAAATTTCTAACCGTGCACACTCAATAGAGTCGTACGAGGCAAACAATGTCGAAACTATTATAAAAAGCGTGTTTTATAAACACTCTTTCTATTAAGATCTGACTTTGTCATACTTCGATAATTAACTCCAGTAATGCAAGTCGGATGCTACAAAGGTTTAAGCTTGAATGCTGAATGTTATGCTGATTGATTCACCGTCAAAAGCCTTTTTTTTCTTCCAATCCTGTTTTTGTCATATCAAGTATGAAATATTTTGTCTCTAATGAATTAGAACCAAAACTTATACCAACATAGATTTAAGGGCAAATTATACTTTGACCCCCTAAACTATGGACTTGATTTCCCTTGAACTATTAAATTTTGTATATTGCCCTCTCGACTACTTGAATTAATTCAAAATTCTCCAAATGCAAAAGACCACTATCTTTTTGAACAAAAATCGCCAACATGCCAGGACCAGTTAAAAAAAATAACATAGTTTGGGGGGGGGGGGCAAAATAAAATAATTTTTTGTTAAATCTATAACAACTATTAATAATTGGGGCAATGCAAAGCGAATCACATAATTGATAGTACAATGTGAAAAACATGATAGTTAAATGAGCAAAGTGAAATAAGAGTCATAATTGGGGGGGTGATAGTGTAATTTTCCCTAGATTTAATTACAGTATCAATTTAAAACAAGTGAAGCACAAACAGGATTAGTGTTGATAAAAGAATTAGGGGCATGTGCAATGATATTTAAGCAGTATGATGTGTACTAAAAAAGTGCTTGGCCATATAGAATTATCTAGTAAAGCCAGTAGAAAGTACATAAAATGTTTATTTCAGAGATCTTCACCCTCTTCCATGCTTTCTATGGAACTTCAATCTGTACCATGCTCTATAGTTGACTCTACCCATTCTTTGTTTGTTCCATGATATCTTGGATGAGGAGTGTCATGTTGAGAGCCCCTTTCTTCTAGGGCCATCTTAGCCATTTCCCCCAACTCTCTGCCTCTTTTTCTTCTCTCTTTGGCCTCCTCTTCCCCATCCATCAACCTATCATGCTTTATCCCACGAGTCCTCCCTTGGATCCCCTTTTTGGGTGTCACTATAAGCACAGGATGTGGTTCTAGCTATTCGAACTTTGCATTTTTGGAATGTAATATTTCCGGAATCTCCATAAATATAATCAAACCTTATTCCGTGCTATTTACATAAGGTTCCTCTTTCTTATTCTTAAGAAAGTCCTCGAGGGGGCTTAGTTGGTCCATGATTTATGTTTCATCTCTCTTTTCCTGTTCATTTGTTTCGAGAAATATATCGATGAATTCCGATTCTCATTCTTCACTTACACAATTTTTACTTGAGCCTCTACACCAATTCTTCTTCCAATCCTCAATACTTGAACAATCAGCTTTTCATTAGAAAATTGTTCCGCAAATGCTGGCCGTGTTACCATTGGCACTCCAGCAACCCTCCCCCCCCCCCCCCCCCCCCCAACTGCAGGGTGGGAATATATTAGTACTTGTGGTACCTAGCCATGAATCAAATTAAAAGGCCTCTCTTCCTTTGGTCCATTCCTCAAATCTTTTTCCAGAATCCATTAGTCAGCTGATTAAATTCCAGTTACTGTCTATGATGTTGATTCGGTGAATTAACATGAATTGTTTTTCATAGTGAAAAGAATGCAAATTTTCAATTCTTCTTTATGAATATGTAGAATTGAACATTTAGTTTCAGCCTAAAAGAATGCAAGTTTTCACTGCCTTTCCATTTCACTTGTGAAGTACAGTGTAATCATGAAGTTACAAAATATAATTCATGCTGGGAACTAAAGATTATCTACTTCTGATGATTCCCTTTCTTTTTGCTCCATCTTCTGGCAGAGTAAAATGAACAATAGGCCATACTAAGCAAGGTTGCTATAATGTTGTTTGTAATCTACACACCTTCTGTGGTACATTTTACATGTTCAGAATCAATCAAACAAAACAAGAAAACTTGGGAGATTTAATTTATATATTTGACTCTTACGAGTACAAGTATTTGCCTAGTCTTCCGGTCACCTTGCTGGCTGAAAATTTTCCTTCTTATAGCTTCCAGTATATACCCAATTTGTGCAAGATACCGGAAACTACTCCCCAGAAGGTGATTTCGGCAAATATCACATACAGTAGTGTACCTACCCTATTAGAGTGCCAAACATCGATAAAGACGTGTTTTTGTATCCAATTGACCTGAATATTGTAGAATTCTCAAAACTGTTAGCTGATAATTCTAGATCATAAGAAATTGTAACATTTTTCTTAGTTGATGAAATTTTAGCACAAGGAGATGATGTTACTTACAAGATTATTATCCTCCCTCTTGTAGTACCATCCATTTATGAATGCTGCAAATATACCTTGTGCTGCCATTACAAACACCAGCATTGCGTTCATTCCTATCCATTCAAGGAACAAGAATGGAGTACGTAGTCCCCAAACATCGATCTGTTTATTTGCCAACATAGAGAGCAGAATAAGGCATTTTTTATTCGGACTATTTGGATAAGTATATAGCAATGGAAGATGTCACAGCTTTACCAGTATGTAAAAAACCGAAAACACAATTCCAGCTGCACCGGCTGTGAAACAAACATAGCTGAAGCTGTAGAGCTGTTTGTTGATGGGAATAGCTGCAAATTCATTTTTTTTTTCAGTTTGATCTACCACTGAAAAATGTCTCAGATTCACTTGATTAACAACCCTTGATCACAGAAATGCTCACCATCTGTAAAATGAAGAATGATGGCCAGGATAAGCAAACCAAGCCCCATTGAGATCCATTGCTTGAGCCTCTCAGCATGGCCCTGCAAAACAAACCCACATATATATAACCCTTCGTAAATGATATGTTCGATTTCAACTAATTCAAGCTAATCACAATTGAATGTTTGTAACCTTGAAATGAATCAAGACATGCCCATAATGTATACCAATGGTGCCGGAGAGGATAGCTGAAATTGTACTGAAAAAGACAATAACCAAACCATGTTTAGCTCAAAAATCAGTATCTTTACAAATAGCTTTAGTTGTATGTTGGTGATAATAAATCAATCAAACCTCAACAAGCCTTCGGGTTCAAATGGACCATGACACCAACTAGGGGCGTCTGGACGAAGTGGACCAGAACTTGGAGAACTAAGTGTACAAGCCTACAATTTAATCAAAAAGGATCAGCTGATAAATTCTTGAAGATTTCACCATTAGCAGGATAGAATATAATTATTGGACCTTCAACGCTCAATTTTACACCAATTTTCACCAACCTTCAAGCGTGACCAGACAGGAGATGAGTAGAGATGATTGACGCCCCAAACCTGTCGATCCACATAACCAACAGCATTACATGCGGGTCCTAAATGTCCTCTCATCCCACATTTTACCTGGAAATTAAGCAAATCACTGTCAGTTTCATCTGCTTTTGAGTTGGTTTTTTTTTTTTTTGCAAAATTTTCTTTCCATAGTTGGCATAAAGTTAAAAATTGCATACAATGTATCTCTCATGGTGTGCCACGAAACTCCAATCTGGAACGTATAGAGAGAATGTTGTGATCATGTAGATTAGGAACGCAGCAAATCCACCAAGCCTAGAACCAAAAATGAGCCATAATTGTTAGCATTAATGTTTAAAAAAAAATTAGTTCTGCCATTTTTGATAGAACATGTGTTTACTTACCATTGCCATTTGTATGCAGTGAAAATGGAGAAATGACCAGGATTTAGGACAGTCGGTCGAAGCTTGGTAGTTAGGGTCTCTATGAAAGCTACCACAAAGTATACCAGAGCTATTCTCTGTTTGCATAGACAACACAAGAACAAATTAGACTGAGAGATTGTCAAATTGTTCCTTTTATTAGGAAAATTCAAACAAATTTGGACTTGGTATGAGGTTTATATTGAGTGAAAGAAAACTTTCATGGAGTCACTTGGACTACTGTTATTATTTGAAATAAGAAATAATATAAAATACATTGCCTGGAGGATTCCAAACCATCGGATTTTCTTCATGTCAACTCCATAAGACAGATCATCTGGTGCATGAGAGTATCCTCCTGCATGGTGCAATCAAGTTTTACTGAATGTCATTTAGTGCAAAAAACATTTTGCACTCTATACTTTACTCTAATTAATATTACTCATATCAATATGGTTCAAATTGATGCGTCATGTACATATTTGTTGGTTGCACAAAACAAAAAAAAAAGTACATATTTGTTGGGTATTACATGTGTGGAAATTATATATCGGATAGAAAAAGAAGTGAAATAGTCTTAAATATACTATTGATGGACAACTACATATAGGATTAAGATTGCTTTGTATTACATAGGTGGGAATGCAAGGAGAAGCTAAGCCCGATATGGTTTACATGCTATGCTATGAAGTATGGCTACGGATACAAGAACGATACGATACGATACGATATGGATACGAATACGAAATATAGATACGATATAATACGGATACAGAAATTTGACAAAATTTAAAAAAATAGAATACGGGTACCGTCAAGAGATGACTATAATAAAATATTTTTATTTTTTTCAACCAGTTTAAAACATATATATTTTGGTAGGTTTTTAACACAATAAGAAAAATTAGTAATTCTTTTTAGTTTCAAAAATATATATATCAAATTACTATGGTATATTCACAAAGTAAAGTGATTAATTAAATGAATCAAAGCGAATATTTACCGAATCGGTTTATTTAAAAGTAATTTTTGCTAAGACTATTATATAATAGATTTACTTTATGCTCTTTTGACATATAATTGTAAATAATACTTAAAAAAATATTCATATGCCTTTAAAGTAATATAATTTTTTTTTAATATATTGTATAGCATGTGAATTCGAAAAAGAAATGTTAAACATTCATCCTAAAAATTATATATGTTGATTAAACATAAAAATATCCGTGAAATATCTTAATATTTAATTATTATCGGATACGTAAGAGGTGTATCCGATACGTATCTGACAAGTATCATATCTGATACGACATCCGATATGAGTACACTCACCTCAACGAAGTATCTGTGTTTTATAAAATTAAATTTTTAGATGAATATGAGTTTCAAATATGTATATGACGTCACAAAACTCTCCCGTCTCCCATATATTTCCTGCTAGAAGATCACCTGGTAAAATGAAACAGCGGAAAGGATTTGACAATACCTTGCAAAATAAGTCCCCAAAATAAGAGCTTCAATGTCCTTAATATTATCTTTTTGATTGCGGACTCAACTTTTAGAATTCTCTGCAAGATTAACATCAGATTCATGGGATTACAAATACGATATACAATCTTGGCCGCACATCATTTTGTAACCGGTGAACAATCATTTATCGGTGATACCATGAGTCAATAATAACATGGTGTCATAAATTTCCGGACCATGTGTGCCTAGAGGTTGGTTGGTTGGTGGTGCGTAGCGCCACTAAGTTCCAAAGCAACTTGGACCCTTGCATAGGCCTAATAAGGCCATTTAATATTTGCCAAGCCTGGTGCCCGAGAAGGTGACTTTTAACCTACGGGCCGGGAAATGGTCCATGGCCCAGGGATAGGGTAAAAGAACCATAACCCATCAGATTATGGCCTGACCCGACCCCTTCACAAGGAGCTCAATGGATAGCTCATTACCTTAGTGGAAAAGGCCATGGGTCTTATTTTGGGCCGAGTCTTGGTCCAACTCACGAATATTTTCGACATATTATTACAAGTTCAAGAACACAAAAACCTATTGTTTTGACTTAAATAAGGTAATAGCAAGTAACTTAGAAAAAGGGTTTTTCGGAAATGAGTACACCAAATTAAATATAATTGTAATAAAATACATAAGATAAAATATTTTGGAAAAAAATATACAGTTGAAATACAAAGACGTAAATACCTATTTTGTAAATTTTTCTTTCCTAAAAATTGTTACAAGACATTTATCTTAAATACTAATGGGCATTTGATCTAATGATCTTTGTCTTGTGAAAGATTTATCTTCTTAAGGTCAAGGATTTAAGTTTTCCTCCTCTTCCCCTCCCCCTAAAAAAAATGCATTTATCTTGAGCGCTGAAATTTAGAGTCATTTAATTCGAAATCTCTAATACACTTTGATTCATTCGTATTTTTTTTTTTTTTGAAAAATAATTTTTTTTCAAATTATATTTATACATTAAATATTTCCTAATTTTATGGGATAACTTTAACATTTCGTTTATTTTAGGATATATCACTTTATTTGAATTTCAAAATTTGTTAACTATTTTTTTATATAATTTGAAATATAAAATTATTTACATTGTAACAAAAACATAACAAATTCATTAAGTAATAGTGTAACAAAAACAGTGTAACAATACACTGTAAGAAAAATAGTGTTCTATGGTTTTGTACATGTGGTAACAAATTCAAAACAAAAATAGACTGTTTTAAATAAAATTATATAAAAATATATGTTTGACAAAATGTAATAATATAATATTTTGTGTAAATATCTTATTACACAGTTATTATTTCATTGTTATGGAATTCGAATATTAATATAATTTGAAAACAAAACTACTTTTCAAAAAAAAAATATACATGAATTACGGTGTATTAAATATAATTTGAAAACAAAACCAATTTCCAAAAAAATATGCATAAATTAAGAGAGGACATAAAAATAAGAAATATTAAAGTTCTCCCATAAAACAAAAAGATATTTAATGCACGAATTTTAAGAAAAAATAACACATGGATCAGGGATGATATAAAAGTCAAAAAAAATATGAAAAATTTCAAATAATGTATTTAGAAACAAATAAGTATCAAAATTGAGAAATTTTTTATCCTATATATATATATATATATATATATATCTTTTTACAATTAATTATAATTTAGTGTACCATTTCCAATTTCTCCTTTAAAAAAAAAAAGAAAACAGCAGTCAAATTTTGGCCCATGGACGGATGACTATCCTACTGAAATCCATTTGGATTGGCCGAACGGACAAACCGTGTACGATTCTTTTATTGGGTGCATAAAACCGAGCCATTGATAATCAGCGTCTATGAAGTACGAATATTTTGTTAAGGTTGACATATTCGTATTTAATATCGTATCGAATACGATATTCATCAGATATTCAAGAATACGTATCGGATACACCCTCTACGTATCTGATAATAATTAAATATTATGATATTTCATGGATACTTTTGTGGTCGAGTAACATATATAATTTTTGAATTGAACTTTTAACATCTCTTTTCAAATTCATATATCATATAATACATTAACAAAAAATTCATATTACTCCAAAGAAATATAAGTGTTTCTTAAGTATTATCTACAATTACATGTCAAAAGAGTATAAAATAAAGTTATTACATTATTATCTAAGCAAAAATTACTTTTAAATACTAGGTAAATATTTGCGTTAATTCATTTAATTAGTCACTTCACTTTATGAATATACTACAACGAAACGATATATATTTTCTTGAAACTAAAAAAAATATTAATTTTTCTTATTGTATATTAAAAAACTACAAAAATATATAAGTATTAAGGTGTTTGAAAATAATAAAAATATTAAATATATTTTATTATAGTTGTACCCGTATCCTACATTTATAGACTTTGTCGTATTCCTATCGTGTCGTACTCATATCCCATATTCGTGCTTCATAAATAAGTGTGCATGACTGTTGACTGGTGGGCCAGTGGGACACCCTAATATGGACCCTTATTTAAACTCCTAATTATTTCAACTAGAGAATTTTTATTGAAATCTAATTTATTGCTATTACTTGTTAATTTACTTATAATCTTTGAATTGATTGTGAATTTCACTAAACATTAAAACTCTACGTTGATTTAATAATTTTAATGAAATAACATCATTAAATTAATAAATTAAATCTAAATCATTGTGTGACATAACAAAATATTCATAAACAACATTTGAAGTAGGGGTATCTATGGCCCGGGCAGGGCAATTATCAGGCAGGTTGGGCTGGGCTTCGGGTAGAAATAAGATATCCGCAATCCAACCCATGAGCCTATTAGACGGGCCTGTTTGCGGGATTTTTTATATACATCTTTATTTAAAAATAATGAATATTTTTATAACTTAATATTTGTGTAAATTATATTTTTGAATCAAAAGTAAAGTTAAAATGGATAAAAATAAAATAATGAACTATATCTAATAGAATGAATAAATCTCAAATAGATTGACACCTACCAACGTATTTGTCATTTGTATTACTTTACCATTTAAAACTTATATGCTTAATACATGGAAAAAAAATAATACATTATTTATAATATCTAAATTTTTAAAACTTCAAATTTCGATATTGAGAGACTTTTTTCAAAATTTTAAATTTAATAATCTAAAAATATAATTTTTTTTCAAAAGAATGGTAGGTTGGGTTGGGCTTGATGGCCGGGCTTCAGGTCGGGTAATGGTTTGGGGGCAAACCTAAACCCTCTTTTTAAGGATATTGGGCTCAGACTCGGGCTCAGGCTCGGGCGGGCCAACTATCAGACCTATCAAACTTCGAGCCTATTTTTTTAGGCCGAATAACAGGATTCGTGGATAACCCGGCCCATAAACACCCCTAATTTTAAGTGCGAATTCTTATACCGATCCAAACCCGTTTCATGTGTCATATAACGATGTGCTGCATTATTGTGCATGGGCTGGGCCCAACGGACGAAAAAGAAATTGATTAAACAATAAGAAAACATGTTACCTTGAGGGCGAGAGCGATTGCGACACCAACAATGAAGAGGAAAAATGGCATCACAAAGTCAGCCAACGTGCAACCATTCCATGGTGAGTGATCTATGCGTGGAAATGATCCTCCGGCATCATCTACCAATATCATCAGCTGCACATAAAAATTATACATGAATCGAGTCGTTAATGAACAGTTATGGATTGACTCGATTAAATTTTCTTGTTCAAGTATGTTCTTTTTTGTAAAATGAAAGATGTTTGGGTTCAATTTTGAAGCTCTGTTTCTATCTATAATGATAGTTACCACTATGGTTAGGCCTCGAAACGCATCTAAAGTTGCAACCCTCTTGCTCTTCTGCTTTATCGGTGGTTGCTCCTCCTTTGGTTCCACTGCAGCTGCTTCAATGACATACTTCTTTCCTCCTCCTTGTCGACGGCGCGTCGTTCTACGACGTCGTCGCGTCCCTCTTTCTTGCCATGGTTATCAGCAGTGTTTTCTTCCTTAACAATTGGTGCATAACCAAACCCTTCTTCTATCCTCTTAGGATCTTCCATTCCTCTCTATGATTCTATCTCTCTTAGATTCCTCCAGCTATTGCTATTTTATATACAGTTCACACTGCCTCTATTATATGTAGCTGAGAGACAGAGAGAGGGTCACGGGTGCCGGCTTTAGTTGTCGTCTGACTTGGATAGGCAGGACCTGAGTGTGTGTGTGTGTGTGTGTGTGTGTGAGTGAGAGAGAGAGACTCAGCAATTACATGAAGATGCACTGGGACAAATCAATGGCATTGGCAAGAAAAGACAGACGACAAGTCCAAAGATATTTAGGGTGGGTGGATTGTAATTCCCAAATCTGGCCCACTCTTTAATTCGATAATGAAATCATTGGTGAGATAACCAAATGGTTATCTTTGTTTAGTTCTCTGTTTAACTGTTGGTGATTAATGATTGTTTGGCCAAACATGATTAATTTTCGTTTTTAATTAGTGAAAAAGAGGGCCATTAGCTGAACGAACCCGAGCCGAGTTCGAGTCGAATTTAAAAAACTCGTTTCTTAATTGAACTTAAAAAATTATTTAAATTTAAGTCGTTTAAGAAACGAATCGAACTTAAACGAGCCAAAAATAAGTTAAAGGTATTTACACATAAGCAAGTCGAATCTGTCGAGTTTGAGCTGGACTTGTTTAGAAAACGAAGCGAACCTGAACGAGCTGAACCCGTGTCGAACTCAAGTTAAACTCGAATAGTTCAGTTTAATTAACAGTTCTAGAGAAAAGTAACATCCGTAAATATCAGCCCAAACCACTATTTTATTTTATATTCAACGAATTCTATTTTCATTATTCATAACTGTATATCCCGAAAGTAAAAATTTGGCCGAACTCGATTAGAGCTATTAGTAAATTACATCTTGAATTTTAAAATAATTTCATTAATAATTACTCGATTTCATCATGTATTTATATTTACATGTACAATTGAAATGATATTGGATCACACAATCACTTGGAATATTGGTGCATTCGAATACAAATCTACAAACTCAGACCCGTAAGACTTTTTTGTACCCTTATCTCTATTGAAATTAACCAACTGAAAATAGACCCAGATTCATGCCCATATCCAGACACATACAAATGTCCAAATAGAAGATTCAACATCAATTATTTATAACTTTGACACAAGTTGTAATTCGTCACTAAAAAATTAAATTATAATTTTTAGTATGATATCAAAAAATAATTTTTCAACGTCATAACCTTAAATGCATAATCTCATTTATAGGTAACTTGACTCTCAAAAGTTGTAATTTTTAGAACGATTCCAAAAAAATAAATTTTTGGTATCATAATCTTACCTGAATAATCTCGGTTATTTTTAACATGACTCAAGTTGAAATTTAACTATCGAAAGTTGTAATTTTCAGTATGACACCAAAAAAATAATTTTTCGGTATCATAATCTTACATGTAATATACACTTAACCAAATTTTGTTGCTATAAGAGACAACATGTTTTTGAACTCATGATATCTGAAGTGATATAGGGAAGGGACATTTATTTAATTGGGGTGTGTAACACCATGGAAAAATTTCTCAAAAAAACATCTTGTACAGAACACCCTGCATTGTCAGTGACACCACTATGCCAACGAGTCCAATAAAAAAAAAAACAAGAATATAGCCGCCCGGCTAGATGCCAAAAACAGTATACTTCGAGGAGTAAAATTTAATTTCGATACATTGTTTTGGTTATTTAAAAAATAAAAATATTTCAAAAATAACATTAAAAAAAATACAAATTTTTAGATTTTATTTTCATCGTTTTATTCCTCTTGAAAATGGAAACGTTTTGGTGTTTTTAAAGGTTGTGAAATAAAATTTTAATCCTTGATTTTATTACCGAAATTTTGTTTGGATTGATTCATTTATAGATTAATATAAAATAATAAAATAACTTTACACGTGTAATATTTTATTGGATATAAAAGAGATGAAAGTATCAAATGTTACTTTTCTATGTGTAAAATTAATATACACCAAATCCTTGTCGAACATTTAGCATGTCTATGTGTAAACAGAATCTCTATAGGCAGGCAGTGGTTACATAGCCGTAAAATTATTTATTTTATTATGACTTGAATGTTATGACTTAATCGTAAAAATAATCTTTCTACACTGGAGGGTAAGATGACACATGAGTCTGTCAATTGGACAGATTTTGATCCCAATCCTATTCGAATACGACTCCAATTTGTCTGAGACGAATTAGATTTTTTGTTGATAATACTAATTTGAATTTGTTATAGCATGTTTCATGGATTCAAATTTTCATGTTCTGATATCCGAAACGATTGTGTTTTGACTGAAATTTTATGTGTTTTTGGAGTAATATATGATAAAATTAAGTGACTATATAATGAGATTGAGTTAAAATTCATATATAATGTGCTAAAATTGTTGTTTGAATGAGTTTTTTATGGATCGGACCACATTTTTGGATTATATTCTCTAATTTTTTGAAGATTCAAAGTTGGACTATAAAAATGAAATAAATCAAATAATCGAATTGGAGTTTTAAAATTGGATTCTTATTCAAATTAGTCAAAATATGATCCGTTGATAGTAGGCTTATTAATCGTGTCGGGTAAGACAGGTTTGAATCAAATCTTAGTGAGTTTGTGTCAAAAAATATTTTACTCGTACCCGATTCGTTTATTAGTTCGTGTCAAACAAATTGTATCATATCGGGTTTATGTCGTGTATTAACTGTGTATAATTGATATATAAACGAGTTGTGTTGTATATTGTTTTTTTGATTAACTTCACCCATAAGTGATTCTTTATTAATCATGTCATGTCGGGTCCACTCATTTATTAAATGAATAACTTAAGAAAGACTTTTTTTTTTTTTTTGGACAGAAGATGTACAGAAGTTTAACTTAAGAAAGATTCAAACTCTCTAATTTCATGTCATATTAACGAATCGTGCCATATTTTTAATAGCGGCCTTAGTTGGCAGGTCTAGTTGTCTTCGTATACCTCCTTTCCTTTCAAGACCGAGTGTTTGGGTTTTTTCATTTTGTACAAATGCAAATCTCATTCTCAAGTTCCTGAGCCATAGAGATTTGGTCAGTTCAAACCTTTTCATAACTAAAGTAATTATCCAATCCTAAAAGCGAAACCATCAAAGTTCCAATGTGCTCCCAATCCATAGAGCCAAACGCCGGCTGACTTCCAGTGCTGCATACATAGGGCTGGTAATCGAGCTGTTGGCAAACCTAAATTAAACCGAATTTACACATAAACGAACTGGCTCGTTTAACTATTTACACATAAACAAGTTATAAAAAATGTTCAAGTTTGGCTTGATTACCAGCCCTATTCATACATAGCTCTAGACGTAGTTTCTGAGTTCGGTGAGTTGTAGCCACCCAATTTTCAACGCAATCTTAAACAAATTGAAGCATTGGGGAATCCAAACAGGACAAAAATATAGTCCCACATTTGACGGATTAGGCAAACATAAAACCACAGAATCACCATACGAGGCGTCCCCAGTAACATTGTCAAGGCACGCAGCCATGTGCAAATAGTGATATACACTTATTTTTGTTGGGGGTTTTTTTGATTGAAAGAGCCCCTATGACAATTTTATAAATTTTGTTGTCGCTTTTTATGGTGTGTGTTGGGAGATTTCTCATGACTTGGTCCGATAAAAAATACATAGATTATGATTCATTCAAGTCTCTCAATTAGCAACATATATAAAAGGTTAATGCTATTAGGACCTAAAAATCTGACTTAATGATGTGATTTTATTATAACCGTTAGATTAACACCAAATTCTAATATTTGATGGAGTCCACAGTCAATCCAATGACTATAGTAGATTGAGCTTTTTACCCAAAACCAGGCGGTTTTGGAAACTTATATCCAAAACCGCCTGGTTTTGAAAGTGTTTCCCAAACTCATAAAGTTTTAAAAATGTTAGTTGAAATGATGTTTTTAATGTATAAAACATCAGTTGGACTAACGTTTTTAAAACCACAATAATCTCTCTTTACCATGTAAAACGTTATGTTAACCAATATCTACTCTACAAACGTCATTTGGACTGACGTTTTTAATGTTAAATTAAACCACCTTTCCCCTCTCTTATTTCCTTCTCTCTTATTTTCCTTCCCCTCATTTCTATGTCTAAACCCTAACCCTAAATCCCACCACCCCCATGCAAAATCTCCATCACCACCACCGCCATTCGAAATCACCTCCACCACTTGCAAAAACAACCACTATATGAAACCCAACCCACCATCTGAAGCCCTCCCTTCAGTTGAAACCCATTCAAACGAAACCCAATTACCTCCACCAAACTTCAATTTGAAACTTCTAATCGGCAAGACGCTCAAGTGAGTGAAGTCCCCCAGAGCCACTACACAACCAAAACCACCTATCCTCCACCACAAATCGTCCACCACTGAACAACAAGAACCACCACTCTTCCACCACTTCAGCCAGCACTTCTCCAACACAGCAACAGTAGGTCTCTTTCACTCTATCTTTCTCACTTTCTGTCTATCTCTCTATCTCACTCTATCTCTCTCACTTAGTCTATCGCTCTATCTTATTCATAAATTGCAACAACATTTTATTCATAAATTAGTTGTAAATTTTATAGCTTGAAAATTCTACTATTCATAAATTAGTTGTAATTTGTATATTGCAATAACGTAAATCTAAGCTGAGATTTTCTCTTTCCATCAAATGATATTGGTATTCCGCCATTGTATTTCTGGCCATTCGTGAATAACGTAAGCGAGGATTCATTGGATAGAAAAACTCATCCTCTAATGTTCAATGATAATCTAGAATTTTAAACACCATTTGCAAACTATAATTCATAGTTAGAGATAAAGTGTGTACAATAAACATTTCTCAGACGTTGATTACATATGCAGCATGGATGTAAGTACGCTAATGAGCAGTCACAATGACTAACATTATACCAATGTGTAGTCACAATGACAAAACACTGATGGAGCTGTCATG